CTGCTATTACTAGAGGTACAGGTTTAAACTGAAGTTGCAAGGTAGAGCCATCTCATACAAACACGCGCTGTGACTCCCCATGGCCCTCAATGAGGGACAAGAATTTGGCTGTGCACATATGAGGTCAGGATGGACTGTTTGGGATGGAGTGGCTTATGCCCATCTTCTCAAGCACAGGCAAAGTAGCTGGTCTGCCACTGTAACATCTATTTTGCATGTGTATTGGCATGGCTATGTATCTTCTTTTTTTTAAATACATGACCACCATTAAAAAAAAATGTTGCAAGGAGTTGCCTCTTGTGGAATACTTTACCTCACAATTGAAATGCTATTTCATCTTGATTTAAAGAAAAAATACATATTATTGGTGGTATGTATAACTCTGTAATGATATCAAATTAATAGATTTCCAATAAAGTTCTTGAGCTTCAGAAAATTAAACTCTTGTGTGGCCAAACAAAACCTTTTTTTTTTTTTTGCATATAAACATGAAACTTCTAACGCTATCTCTCAGCAATGAATCTTCTGCAGAGCATGAAGATTGTTCTGGTCTTATTCTGCTGGAAGATCTAAAATAACTTTTATTCTGGGAAAGTTAAGAGAAAGTGAAGCCAAGAATCAAACCTTTCATTTTTAGATTATATGAAGCGATCTATGTTAGGAAATTACGATTGCTATACTCCGCATTTTATTTGTGAGATCTAAGTGGGATGCAGGACCAAAAGTCAATTTTCAACTCAGCAAATATGGAATGGCACACAGAGGCAGTTCCTGTTACTACTTCTCAAAGTCAGGGCCATATCTTTTGCTGATGTAAATTGACACAGTCTTATTCGCTATAATGGATCTGCACCCATTTATACCTATAGGGAACTATCAAGTGCAGCTGACTCATCATTTTTGTAATAGCTTGTCTACTTAAAATACTCTTATTTTAAATACTTAAAATACTCTTATTTTATCTTTGCTGCAACCAGAAATGAGATACTGAAGTCTGCATATATAAAAAATATGGCAATAAATCTGTAGCTTCATGAATGTCACTCACCTGTGTCTAGCGAAAGAGACTGCAGTAAGCATTGTTTTTCATCCGGCTCACCATGATAATTTCAAACTTCTTTCGTACTGTCATCAATTAACAGTTCATTGTTACACAATCCCAGCTAAGCCTGAGGGATAATGATTATTGTTGCAATGCAGAGTTGGGATTATTTTTGATAAAAATGAGTCTATATCTGAATATGCATGTTTCAGAGATTCTGAAGTATGCATGTTTCAGAGATTCTGAAGTATGATCATGTCATCTGTTCACACCACAGAGGGGGGTGTCTGGGATTCAAGAAAATGCTGTATTATAAGAATTAAATCTTAAACCATATACATTTAAAGATTGTTTAGGTAGCAGTGAAGGGTAAGATACAATAATCTCTTTATAGGTAAGAACAATAGCCTTTTTTTAGCTACTGCTTATTTCATATAATTAGTTTGCCTATTTTTTCAGAAACAAAATATCAAATATTGCAGTTTTGGGTCTTATTCTCTCACCAAAACAAAATCAGTCCCAACATCTTCATCATCAAGAAAAAGAAGTAACAGAAAGATAAGATAACAGAAAGATCTACACTGTATTTTGCTGTTGCAAAGCCTGAAACCCAGTTGAGAAGCTCTTGCAGATCTAGTGGTGGGAGTTCCAGTTCCCAAGCTCCACTTTAGATGGGTTCCAAGGTCTAATTTCCTTCAAAAGTTTTTGATGGAATTGGCATGTTTCTGAGGAACAGAATTTTGTATTTCATTGTATCAGCATTTTCCAGAAGAAACCTTTACACCTGGAAATATTTGACTAACTCAGTTTGGAAGCTTTCATTTGTCTTTTACCTGCATGAACTGTAAATTCTTTTTTCTCATACCTGTTCATGACCTGACTTATGTCACATATTTTTGGCAAATAATATACATAGCAAATCCAAGTTTATGAGCTTGCTATTGGATACTTAAAACCTGTTTAAATCAGATATTTTTGATAAACAGAATAAGCACGAACACAAGGGTGAAGCCAGAGTCTTACGGCCTGTTGCTGTCAATGTAAATAACCGGTTGATCTCTGTAGAAATTGCATCAAAGGCCATAGGATGGGCCATGTAGTTGCATGTATAAAAAAGTTTGAAAGCATTTAATGACATTTATTAATTTTTAGGTTCATATGATCCACTTGATGTTAACGTGTAATGAGTTATGTAATGTAATGAGTAATGTTACTTGCACTGTGAAGGGAAATTGCTAATGTAATCTAAATTGAGAAAAAAGTAGAGTTAAAAACAGCATTTCTGTCTCAAGTAGTCTCTCAATAAAGTTGATATCTGTAATTCATAGACCTGTAATGACTAGATTAGGGGAAAATAATTCTGATAGTGGGACATTTATTGCTAATTTTTTTACTGTTTTCAGTGTGTACCCCTTCCTCTCTGTGTAGTTTTGTGGGTTGTGGGATTTGCTTCTTTCTTTTTCTTTTTTCCTTCATAGAAAAAGCAGGAGATAAAACATTTCAACAACTCAGAAAAATAAAGTTGTAAAGCCAAAACGTTTGAGAGAGAAACTCAAGAACAGGCATAATATCTAAACTTATGTGTATGATGTTACAGTAAGTACAGCATTAGAAGCTGGGGCTGAACAGAGAAAACTTACCTGGATCTAACACTCCCCGTGACTGTTAACATACTGGCTCACAGGCTTATAGATTGTCCTGCCAATAGAGATGTTGGACTGGGCATGATACAGTACATATTTTATGCTTACAGTAACTTAAAGTTAACAGGTCTTTTAGTGATCAGTATATTAAAATCAATTCATAATTTTTATGATCCTCAGCAGACAGGAAATTATGATAAGTCATTTCACTTTTATTTTAATACACTGTTTTGTTGAAAAAAATATGGCTGTTATATGGCAAAATTAAGAGGTTTTCTTCATGGGTTGGTTCCTTCTGTGAGTGTAAAGAATATGCAGATATTTTGAAGATGAACGGGAATAGTGTTTGGTATCTGGGGCATTTATCTAGCAATGATCTAGACAAAGAACAACATAATTTTGAGAAAGAGTACAAGAGTGATTCTGAATAGCATTTGGATGCAGCTCTGCCAGTTGCATTATACGTACATAGGTAGTCCTTATTCACCAGTAACCACATCAATGGCTCCATGGCTCCCCTAAAGCTTACAGCCGTTGTGAGAACTCCTTCGTGAGGGGACTCTGGAGTCTCTCCGGAAAATTCTACATACCAGATAAGTAACTTACATTACAAAGTATATATT